AAAAATACTTCTGTCAAGCCATTTCCTCTCCCTCCCCTCCTTTCTCCCCGTCACTGTCCCCGCCCAAGCTGGAGCGTGGCAGGGAGAGGTTTGCATCAAACTGAGGGGTCATTTGCAGAGCAACTGGCAGGAGGAGCTACTCCAACCTTCCTTAAAATGCTCCTCCTCCTCCTCCTCCCTCGTCTGAACACCTTTACATTTTGGAAACGGTGCATAAAACMTTTCCACATGACAGTCTTCATCCTTGTTTGTACGAGAACTTGTTTCAATGTCATCTCTGGGCTCAGGCAACCTGGTGTTCGAGGTCTTTATGCAAAAGGAAGCATTTTTTAAGGGAGTCCAGGGRTAAAATATAGATTATCATGCCTTTTGCCTCCATAAGCATCCACCTACATTATCTGGGTGCCTGTGTGTGCATGTGTACCAGGCTGAAGCTCTGCTCATTTTAGTTCAGTGTACAGCTTGGCTCATGACTAAAGGTGCAGATCCGACAGCATCAGCCACGTGGTAATTTGGAAATGCATGGAAATTCATAGGATTGAACCAAAATCCTAAGATAATTTACTAAAGTGCCATAATTGGTGACTATGTTTGCAGTGCATTTKTGTGTTGTCACTCTCTGAATATTAAATATTCTGTTGTTCAAGAGAATTTTATTGTGATGATTGGGTAAATGAAGAGAGGCCATGGCCCTCATTGCTGGAGAAGTCTGTTCATCTGGTTTGCATGCATGGCCTTAGATTAGTGCTGAATGTTAAATTATTAATTGACAAGGCATCATTTTGGTTTGAAAGTGAATTGCCAGKGTTCTGCAAGTTAAATAAACTCTCAGAGTTATGCCAAATGTTATTTCATAGCCATGGGGCCACTATGGAAAAAAAAAGGATATTGCTCTAAAAAGAGTTGCAGTTTTTCACAACCAAACTGCTTTGTCAGAGCATCATTCTAGGAAGATTAATGGACTGAGGTCCCTGTCTACAGTGTGTAGGTGTTAAAATAGAAATGTGATGGACAGTGAATTTTAGGTCCTTTTTACACAGATCTCATATTTTACTGGGGAAATGTGAATTTGCTGAGAGGCGTGTGTCTGTGTTAAATCACTGCTGAGGGAGTGAGCAGCCAGGAGCTGGGAATTCCACCCTTGTTAGAGCATGACCATGTTTTTATTTGCCATCCATGTGATCCAGTGTTGACATGAGATCAGGAAGGATTTGAAGATGTGATGTAAACTGGAGCAGAGTGACAATAAGGAGCCAAAGCCTTGCAGCAGAAGCAGAAGTACCGTGTGTGTGGAGCCTGGCTGGAGCCTGCGTGTGCCCCATTGCTCAGTGTTTGAATCACAACAGAACGGCAACCTGCAAATATTTTCTCCCTTTGCTTTTTCCATTGCTTTATTCCCTAAACAGTATGATTTGTGGTTTGTGATAGCAGAAGTAGTGTTTGAGTAACCAAATTTGAGGCTGAAACTGTTGGGTGGCTGCCTTCTCACCTGCAAACCTTTMCAGCACAGACCTCTCTGGAAAGGAGGGGACATGGAGAAGGTTTACGTGCACTAATAAATAGAAAGGCCAGAGCTATTTTGATACATATGGAATAAAATATTAGCTCTGCTCTAAACAGTTGAGCCCGTGCCACGTACAAGATGGGAAATCATAAACAAGTGGCAGCTTTCCAGCACATTGTGGCGTGTTTGCATGTGACCAGCATACATATTTCAAACTCCGGACTGCCTGTGGCATCCTGCAGTGAAAATGAAAGTTGTGTTCCTATTGAAAAGACGTTGCTTCAAAATTGGTGTATTSTGTGGGCTATTATGCTGTGGATGAGAAGCAGAGCCCTGTTTTCCAGCATTTAAAGCCAATATTTTTTTTCTTTTTTCCCTCTCTTTTGGCTCTTCCATTGTATCAGCACGTGTTTTCTGCTGCAGTGTCCAAAGCTTGCTTAGTGTTTTATTGTTCATTATTCCAAAATKATCAGATAATATGTTATGCTGACTGATTTTCAAAATGCAGATTTTCTTTCTCTTTAAAAACTAAGATTATTCTTTTAATTAATCTGGCAGAACTAGAATAAAGCAGATGTAGGTTTTGTTGAGGATTTTTTGAATCTCTCATATCATAATCTTTGTTTCTGCCAAAACTCTTTTGCCARTGTCTTCTCAGGGACATAAAGCAAAAATGGCTGTTACAAGAAAAAACACAGAATAGCTAATCTCTTAACTAACATAGTTTGATTAAAAGGGGCTATTTATAGTTTTGATAGATACATTTTAGAAAATTAATAGAAGAGACACAAAAGAGATGCTGTCGCTGCTTTTCCCTAAATAGGCAGCTTTTCTGCAACTCTATTTTGTGAGATAATCTTGAGCACCTGATCCTTTGTATGTACTTTCATATTTAGTTTCTAAAATTTTCAGTTATTTAAATAAATTTGGTATCACATAGTCCCCTTGGGAGGTGACAGATGCAGGCCAGTTGGCCTTTGCATGCCTATCCCAAGGACAAAATGTTTTCCCTGTTTTTACACAGARAAGCCACAAAACCTAAATTCAAATGAAAGTTTTCCAGTTTTGCAAGCATTTCATATTTACCACAACTTAGACTGAAACAAGCAGTTTCCTTATTTCCTTAGCTCTTTTGGTTGCATACACATGAATAGACAGGWTTATGGGATTATTAGGAAAAATGTTAACAAGCATCACATGCAAAGATACAAAACTGGCTCACTGTTAATGCATGAAGGGAGAACAGTGGGAATAGAATGAGTGGTAGCTTAAAGAGTGAAATTTTTTGTTTGTTTGCAGAATTTCTGGTTTTGTTCTTCTTGGCTAATCCGCTCATTTGAAACAAGACAAAAAGCAACTAGTTGCTAATTGAAATTTGTTAAGAAAGTATTATATGTTTCTCTTAATTTACTTATTTCTTTCACTGGGCTACCAAGGATTGTCTATCTTTTGGGCTCAAGAAGTTTTATTTGCTGAGCTGTTTTCTGTTGCTGAACAGTCTGGAAACAAAGCAAAGCTGTACTAATACCACTAGAATATTACTTATTGGAAAATTAAGTGAAACTATGAAATCAGAGTAATGCTGAGTGTTTCTGTATGAAGTTTTCCATTGAGCAGCCCGTACATTCATGTCTGAGGACAAACATTAAAAGGACAGTGATCTAACAGGAAYAGCAAATGCTGTTAGGGCCACAAAAGAGAATCCCTAATGATACTGATGTCAGCATGCAGCAGAGCTGGGATTTTCCTCCAGGACTAACCCCAGTTAAGCAATAGATTTCTAGCACTGTGACCAAGCGCAGCATTTTCAGTTAGTCTGTGAGGCTGCATTTTTCTCAGGACATAAAAATACAACCACAGAGCTGAACTCAGTCTGAGAGCTTTGTAGGGGTTAAAAAGGTGCTGTGCAAGGAAATGTTGTGTAGAGCAGGAGAGGTGCTGTCCCAAGTCTGTTTGGCACAGTTTCTGTTTCTGCAGCAGCATGCCATGGGACATGAAATCAGTCCAAGGAACACCAGTGAAAAACTGCTACAGTAAATCAGAGAAATAGTGTTTTATAGAGTTTTGTCACAAGCAACTTTTTACCCCTACATAAAACATACCTGATYTTCTTGGCCTTCACTTGAGCACTCATAAACTGTCAGACAGATGTATTTCTATGTTGAAGGGAAAGTTCTCTTCTAAACTTCTGTGACACACAGCAGCATAGTGGAGAATATTGCCTATGCTTCTTTGAGATGATTGTCAGGATAATGGAGAATGAAAGGTAAAGATAAACATGGASAAAGATCAAAACAATTTATATGAATTCACAATTACTACAGTAATGCTGACATTTAGAATCACAAAACCATAGAGTCGTTAAGCTTGGAAAAGACCTCCAAGATCATTGAGCCCAACCTTTGACTGAAAAGAAGTAAYTTCTGTCTGTTAAAATCTGATGCATGTATATCTGGAAAAGCATAGGCTTGTGATTTTACGAAAACACACTAACTACAGTTCCTGGAGCAAACATATTTGTCCACTAAGAATTTCCAGTTTTAAAGTGTATGATGGTTTTAAAGGTAAAAAGGGATGTATTTTCCTAGAAGTCACTTAAGTTTTGAGCTACAAGGCTTCTACTKTATGCCCAATAAAATTTTCAGCCTTGATTCTGGAAAGAACTAAGCATGTCTGTGACTTTATACACACATATACAGACATGTACACACGCTGTGTTTTAAACAAGTAAAGTTGACAACAAAACTCTTACAGGCTTTAACAGCAAAGCAGTAGTTTACCAAGGCTGTACATTAGATGTAATTGCATTGAAATCCAGAATTATGGTCAGTACATAAAGTTAAACATGGACAGAAATCTTTGCAGGATTAAGTACCTTTGATGTCATCTCTTGTAAAAATGATATTTAATAGTTAAAGGTATCAAAAGAGGTTTGAACCGGCATGTTATTTCCACATATACCTAACTTGCCTAAGTGGCATTAATAAGAAAAGCTTCCAGGATTACTGAAAGCACAACAACTTTATGTTTTTTTTCTTTTCAAAAGTGAGCATGTTATGCATGCACTTTTACCGTATGCAACTTCACAGTACCTACAAATCTCAAATACAAATCTCATCACAGATCTTATAACAAGGTCATAATAAAAATATTCCTATAACAGATGATGGATTAGCCACTCTAGCAATAGAAAAGAACAACTCTTAAGAAAAACATAGAACTTTGAGTTAAAATGGTGCTATGGAGAAAAGTTAACTTGGATGATGATTATAAAGATAATAATTATTATAGTTATCACCACTGGAAAAGAAAAAAAAGAAAACTTTAAAGGGAAAGCAGCAAACCGACTCCGAAGTCAGTCAGGGTGAGAGAACACGGGAAGTCGCCAAACTCTGGGATGCGGTGGGCGAGTGCAATGGATATTCAGACCAATGGAAGAGAAAGTTGAAAATACCATTCTTTAAGCCTTTTATTATTAATTGAAGCTGCAGTACTACTTAGACCTATATCATRATCATTTATACCAGGATATTAGTCCGAGGCAAAATCCAAAAGGAAAAAAGTCCAATCCAAAAATTACGGAAGCCCAGAATGCAGCCCGCGAGTTCCCGGGCGAGGAGGGGGAACCCAGCCCTTCCCCTGCCGGGAAGAAAACTGTGAATCAAACCAAACCAAAAGGAAATAACCCCCGAACCGTGCTGTCTGGGGGCCGGGGGGCCGTGTTGGTCTGCAGCCCTGCGGTGACGATGCCGCTTCTCTCTCGCTTCTCTCTCCCGGCAGAAGCTGGCGGTGCTGGTGGGCAGCGGCGCCAGCGGCAGCGCCAAGCCCGGCGTTGTCCCGGCTCTCCTCAAGGCTCCGGGGGCCGGCAGCCCCGGCCACAAGCTGCCCATCCCCGCGCTGCCGGCCCGGGCTCCCATCGCCATGGTCACGGCCACCCTGCACGGCRGCATGGGCGCCGAGCCCCCTCAGAACGCGCCCGTCAATCTGCAGAGCACGGCCAAGGCGGGGCGGGCCCGCCGGCCACCAGAGATCGGCTCCGGCACCCAGGTACGGCCGGGGGGACCGGGGAGGAGGGAGGGGTACGGGGG